GCCTGGGGGGTTTCTGGGGTGGGGGACATTCTGTGGCAAAACTGAGAGAGCTCCAGGCAAACGTGAGTGAGGTGGTCATCCCACATGCAGCCCCAGAGCAGGAGGCATTTTACCAGGGGATTGGCCAGAAGGGTCTCCCGGCAGGCTCCGCTTGGCCTGGCCTGGACTGGAGGTCAGTTCCTGAACTAATGACAGGGGCCGGAAGACAAAGCCTCTGGCCAAGGTCACGTCCACTTCCACCCCCCCATGGGGTCAGCGCTTCCCGAATCCTGGGAACACGGTTGGAAGAGATGCCCCAAGGAAAGGACCCTGGGCACACCGATGACGTCATCGCCGGAGTCAGGTGGCTCCCAGTCGCAAGGACACTGATGACATCATCGTAGTCACGTGGCTCCCAGACTCCAGGCGTAGGAAGTCTGAGGGGGAAAGATTTGCCAAGGCAACGGGCGAGGGCCGGGGTCCGACCAGAGTCTCCGTGGCCTGGACATGTGCCCGCCTCCCTGCCCTGGGGGAGACTTCAGAATCCTGCTGCTGAAACGGAGAAACCGCCTGGGCCCGCGAGGTTGTAGACGTCCTGCTCTCTGCACACGAGATCAGGAAAGGTCCCCTCCCCCAGCCGTCCCACTGAGGGAGACCTAGAGCTGCCACCGGAGGGCGAGAGCCACGCTCCTGCTGACCGGCTGCCAAAACACTCGGAACCTTCCCTCCGTGCCCCTCTCCCTCCTCCCCAGAGAGGGCCACACGCAGCCCCCGTAAGTCCCCCTTGGCTCCGTGACTGCTTGGAGCACAGCCTGTCTGGAGAGCGCAAAGGAAGAAAGACCCGCTGCTTAGAACGGGGGGCTCTGGGTGTCTGCGACAAGGGACGACCCCACTGCTCATCTGCAGGGGCTCCTCCGGTCCTGCCGAGGGCTGAGCAGAGCTGAGTGGAGGGAGGCCTGCGCACCCTGGGTCTCAGCCTGGCGGAAATGCCCCAGCCGCCCTGCGTCGTGCCCGAGGGACAAGGGACACAGCCCTGTGGGAGAACCACAGGGAAGCACAAAGGGTCTTCCCTCCTCGGTGGCTCCACAACCCCCACGGCTCTGCCCTGGTGACCTGCAAATGGCAGCCGCGGTCGGTGACCCAATGACAGGCAGAGCTGGGGCTGGGGTGGGGTCAGTGGAACAGCGCTTGCCTGGCATGTGTGCGGCCCTGAGTTCGAGTCTCAACTCTGCAGATAAATAAGCGAAATGAAGGTCCATTCACACACACACACACACACACACACACACACACACAGATGCATGCACGCTGTCTGCACGGAGGAGCGACAAGGAGAGGGAGAGCGCGTCACGGAGACGTGGAGCACAACAGAGCAAGAGGCTCCGACCTTCCTGGTCAGCGACTGACCACGTTTGCGTGGAGACCACAGCTTCCTTCTTGAAGGCCCTTCACAGGCATACCTACGCACCAAGAGTCGGTGCACCAAAAACGTGCCCCTGAGTGTGGAAGTTCTCCAAAATGACCCAGATCCAGGGGGAGGACGTCTGTGGGGCAGCAGCCAGATGCCAGGCGCAGGGCACTTAGTGCTGAACTCAGCCTTCACCCCTGAGGGCGGGGAGCAGGCCTGCGCAGGTCAAAGATCCCGTGTCAGAGCGCGCGGCTGGTACGTGGGGAGCCGGCGTCGAAGGCACGTCTCATGGCCGCAGAGCCTCGGCCTGTCCTCCAAGCCCGCAGCCTCCCCGAGACAAAGCCGGACGGGGATATTTAACAGAAAGACAACTACAGGGTCAAGGGTTTTGATAGTCAGTGGGTCGCTGCCTTTCCTGCTGCCTATTTATGCACCTGTCCGTGTGAAGCCAATCTCCAGGACATAAACTCAGAAGCTCTACTAAGAACTCTCAGGAAACATCCTGCTGTTTGTTTGGCAGTGGGTCTCGGCCGGGCTACTGCAGGGGTGAGCTGACACGTTCCAGTAACTGACAAGAAGCAGAGACTTCACCGTGACTGTCAGCAGGATCGCCTGCTGGGGAGTAGATTCTCTGACCACCGAGTGGGGCTGGCCACTCAGGAGCACAACCGTCAGTTACGGGCTATTCTTTTTTCTTTGCCAAAGCAGTGAACAAGGATCCAAAGTATTAATTACAGTGTAAACTGCCCGCTGCCCGCTGCATGAGCGGTGTGAAGTCTACCGCGGGGGTTCCTTCTGTCTGCAGTGTGCAGCCCGGATACGTGTCAAAACAGGAGAAGGAGCGAGCGCTGTCAGAGCTCAGGAGCTACGGCCCACCCACCAGCTGCAGGTCTGCTGGGAGGGTACGGGTCTCATCTCAGACGGGAAACGCACGTCGTCACACTCTCAGCAGAGAAAGCAGCCAGGTGGATTTGCACCTCTAGGATATGAACCGCTCCCTTTGCCCTCAGAGCGGATACCAGAGCACACACAGCCTTGGAGTGGAAAGCGTTTCTGGACATCATAACGCTGCTGTGGGGGCTGGACATTGTGGCTCACAGTTGCACACCTGTAAGTGACTTGGGAGGCTGCGTCATGGAGGATCACACGTTGGAGGCCAGCCTCAGCAACTTAACGAGACCCTGTCTCAAACTAAAACATGTAAAGAACTGGGGGTGTGGCTCAGTGGTACAGCACCCCAAGTTCAATCCCCAAGACCAACCCCCCCCAAAAGAACCCACAAAGCTGCTTTGGGGTTAAACAACTCCATGCAGTTCGTTCTCTTGGGTCAGTGACATCGCTTAGCGATCATCACTTGCGACGTGAGTTTCCAACCTTCCCCCCGACCAGAGTTATCCCGTAGAAAACAGAATGTTCTGGCTTTTTGACTCTGGACTCTAGGATTTCAGGGGACATGGGACAACTTTTGTGAATTTTGGTTTCCACAGGAGTTGGCACAGTTCATGACCAAGGAAGGTGCCTGATAAATGTTTATTGAATGGGTGACGAGACCCCTGTGCCCGTTTGGTTGAAGTTTACGAAGTCAGTTCAATAGGTGCGACTTATTTCTGCTTAAATCATCAAATCGTCTTTCGTGCGGTTTCCTTTGCGTGAGTCGCTAGCATCTCTCCTAAGGCTAACTCTTAGATGTCTATAAAAGACGCCTGGCTTTTCAGTTTGATCCTGGCAGGAAAAAAGCCATCTAAGTTATGACTAGAGCACATTCACCAGCCGTCCCTTCTGCACCCATGGCAGACATCACTAATCAACAGACGTCACTGATCAACATAGATTCATCCCTGACATCCAGATCCTCTGCAGTCTAGCCATCCTGACAGCTGCTGCTAGATTTGGCTCAGAAGATGCACCTATTCACCCTCCCTCCCTCAGGCAGCAGATCCTTTTGGAATAGGCACATTAGAGGGTACCTGAGTGAATGCCATAAAATCAAGAGATGAATTAAGATTTCCTACGAAAAAGAGAACAAGGTAACCTGCTGCCAGGGTCCTATCCCAACGTGGCCCTGTTAGTTCCTCTGCGTGAACATAGTGGGGTTAGAGGAACACAGGCCTGTCCAGGCTGCTCCCACGGCCCTCCTCCAAGTCTCCCTGGTGACGTGGCATACGTATCCCTGCTCCTGAGAGTGGGCATTCCCTGTGATCCGACAGATAAGATGTACTGCAATGATTGAGCTCCTACTGCTTCCAAATGTAAAGTCTACCCCAGTGCAACCAGGTGGTAACAAACGGCGCAGAGGAACTGGGATTTTGGAACGGGAAGTCCCTGGAGACGGCCTCGCTGGGTAGGTCCTGCTGCCTGACTTAGGACTGGTGGGTGAGAGACCCCAGGGACTTGGTGGCCAGACCCCCAGGATGCAAGCCGAGAGGATCAGGGAAGCCTGGGCTTGTGGGAGGCAACTCGGTCGGCTTTGGGACGAAGGTTGTCTGCACAGGGGGACCTGCCTAGAGGGGAAGTTAAAGCTGAACCCAGTGGTGAGGTGGGCACCAAGCTGCTGCGGACAGCTGGGGTCCACCGTGGGGCCACATGGGCTCACCGGGTGACGCGGGATCTTCCAAACTGGAGACGTTTCATTAAAATGCCAGAACACCTCACCTGCTCGTGTTGCCTCCAACTCATCGGAAAAAGCAGCGTCGGGCGGGCTCAAGGTGTGGAACTGACAGCGGGGCTCCGGGCTTTCCAGCATTCTCTGTTCCCTCCGGAAGCTGGGTTTCGTCCTTGGCAGTAGCTGGTGGTTTCCAGGATTGTCCAAGGCAGGCTCTTCAGGGTTCCCAACATCAAAGAAACCTAAGGGCTTCCCAGACCCCAAATCTGAGAGCCGCTGCTCCAAGCCGCCTCGTGTGACTCCAACTGTCCCCAGGCCAGCAGAGAAACTTTTTATTTAGTATAAACGACGTCATAAGCATATTCCATAAACCCTACAGCACCTCGTCAGCAGCTCATGAAAACCCGAGGGTCCCGTTCGGTTCCAGAGAGAGCTGTTCAGTTTCCTTCGTGTGTGATCACCAATTTCTGCCGTGGACGCCAGGCTCTGAGTTGTGGAGAAGGGCCAGCGCTGCCAGTCCTCCCTGGCGGGCCTGCGTCTCCTCTCGGGCTCCTCCAGCGTGTCCCTGGCTTCCTCTGGGTCTTCGCTGGGTCCCCGTCCACCTCCCCTCTGAGCTGCGACCTCCTGTCGTGGCCCTGCATGGGGACATGCTGCGCACATCTCCTGAACAAATGATCCACCTTCTCTTCCCCAAGAGAACAAAGCTCTGCCCGAGTCTCTGTGCAGAAGAGTCGGTCGCTTTCAAAACCTAGACGCTATCGGATCCAAAGACAAACAGCAAAAGAAAATAACATCCACAACAACGAAAAACACCCCTAGACACTATCGATTTGGCCTGATTCAGTCCAAGAACAATGGAAGGAGAGAAATCAGTCAAACTGTCCGCCACGGCCAGGCCACGTGAGCGACCGCACAGGCTGCGCCCTGGGCAGACGCTCAGGGAACTACCCAGAGCCACGTGGGCGTGTGGCGCACTCACTAGGCCATCGCGCCCGGGGAACAGTACGGCTCGGCTTTAGAGAACTTCTGCGGAATCGACAGAAGATTTGACCCAAAAAGGTGGTGCAGTCGCTTCCCCGAGCACCGGGAGCACATTGCTCCATAGAACTTCCACCAATCGCTGCGTCCTGGGCTGCACTGCTGGAGCGAGACGGTCCCCACGACGTATCACGTAATTCAGACGTACACTTCCATAAAAAGTGTACGTGACTTTGTGGGGAAGTGACAGATAGTGACGAAGAAGAACTCTGCCCGGAAGGAATCATTTAGTGATCGCTCCTGAAATCGTTCTCTCGTCTTTGTCACAGAGGAGAGAGGATGTCATAAGGTGGAGCTTGGCATGGTCTCCAAAACAAAGAAACGGGGCCTTTCCCTGGTATACTTATGGCTTCCAAACAGGCACCCTCCGGAGACAGGTGGCCCATAAATTGATCTTTTTAGATGGAAATGATGTGGCACTTCATTTTTCCCCGGGACCAAAGCGGTAACCAGAAAACAGGTCATTGTGTATCGTGACAATAAACTGTAATTATTTATGCACATGGAGGATGAGAGGGTGACTTGCCTTCATCAATCACCCTTCCTTCATGAGTCATTGAATTCCTGCCAACCCGTGAAAAATGAGCTCCCCCATCTCCTACGAAGAGTTGGAGAAAGGAAGAGAGAACCCGGGAGGGAGGGACCTGGAGGCAAGGTCTGAATTCAGAATTCACATTGTCAGAGGCAAGGTTTAGGAAGAATGTTCCTCGGCAGCCGACACTCAGTCCATGCTTTATAATTTGGAAAACCACAGCCGGGCACCTCTGTCCTCCCCTCTCCCGCGCAGACTTGTTGTTTCGAGTCTGACTACTCTTTTTGGAGACGACTGGTTACATGAGAGAGAACCACCTTCAAAACTCACCTCCACAGCACATACCTCCAGTTATCTTTCACACGGTCCCAGAAAACTTGTGGGATTTTTTTTTTTCCCATTTTGCCGACCTTGTTTATTTCTCCCGACTTTACCATAAACATTTGAAGATGCTTTTTCTATTAAAAGAATAAAACCATTCAAACAAAATCAGAATCTAAGCTGTGACGTGCAGCCGTCAACACGAAGGATGTCTGTGAGTTTAGTAGGGGAGAAGAAAGGTTGAACGTTTTTCTTAAAATGTGGGCTAATAAATTGATTAAAACTTTGCATACTATAGGCAGCCTCCGTCTCTTCTCAGAGAATCAAAAACATGAAGGAATTTGCAGGAGAGAAACGCATGATGCTACCATAAAGTCATCTCCCTGCATACGGCATCCATAAACTCTCCTAGTGGCACGATCACTTCTGATTTATAGAAGAGCCACAGCATAATAAAATGCAAAGCAAAAAATGAGGTTTCTCTCACTCTAGAAGCACCAGTGAATTCATTATGAGTAGATTTCTTTCTTTTCTTTTTTTTTTTTTTCTCTAAGGAGGGAAAACAATAAATTCTGTGACGCCGAGACCTTGTTCAATTAGAAAAGGTCATTTTTCTGCCTTGGTACAATAGGAGCGCCATCTCTCAGATTCCGACCTGACATTCATCATCATTTAGGGGAAGTGCTCAGCTGAGAATCTCCCTCTGGCTTCATATCACAACCCTGATGTACCCCGCGGTGAAATATTGGAGCAGTAATCCAAAATGGCGCTCAACCTGGGGCCAATACGCTGCATCCGTTCCCACTGAGAGAAACGACTACCTAACAGGAAGCAGAAGAGTGTTTCTGGGTCAGACCCCACCGCCTGGCTGGTAGCAGGTCCCGCTGCCCTGGGGCAGTCAGGCTGAGGGTGTCCTCTCCCCTCACACCCTCACTCCCTTCCCATCCCAGCAAACTCTAAGGAGAGACACCAAGCTCCCAGAAATCCAAGGGACAGGAAGCCCAGGGGACTGCCTGGGTGCAGGAAATGCCTCTGGTGCATGCTGGGAGTTGTAGTTTTTCTTGTCTTTCATGAAATGCTAGGGGGTGGCAGCAGACTCCATCACACCAGGCCAGAGGAGTGGGCAGAGATGCTCAGAGATGCTGAGACGGAGTGAGAGCCCTACACAGGAGTTCACTCCCCAAGGTTATAGCTCCGTCCTTTTTTGAGGCTGCACGTGAGACACTCAGCATGTGCAGACTCGAGGACATTAATGTAGGTGTTAATAGCATGTGGATCCAGGGATAGGGCTACACCTGAACATGCCTACAGCCGTGGATAGCAAGCACCACCTCAGGTGGACTCATTCTTCTAGATGAGGAAGCAGGGAAATGCAGAATGTATGATGAAATACAGCAGGAAACGGGGGGGGGGGATCTTACCCTGGAGATTCAGATGCTGTAGCTTTCAGAAAATAATCCATCACCAAAATGTGGGGACATTGAAAACTGCTTGGTGTACTGCATGCAGGAATTTACGACCACAGGAGGCTGCTGTACTGAATAGAAGCGAAACAAAACTCAGACGGAATTTAGTGAAAAGTGAGGTTTGTGGGCTTAGGGGTGACCGTAAGAAATTCAAAATTGGAATGGAAGAATGAAGGTCTTCAGGTATAATCCCCAATGTGGAAGGTGAGGTTGAGATGCTCTTCCAGTCTCAGAAGGAAAGGACAGAGCCCCTGTGGCAATTCTGTGTGTGCCTGGTCATCCGCAGACCCCAAGGACAAGGGCACAACACGTTGGACAGAAGCAATCCTGGAGAAGGATCGGGAGTGAACCTGCTAAAGCTGAGACCCCACGAGCCCTGTGACACCCCGTGTGCTGCGGGGACGAGGTCCCCACTGCTCCAGGTAATGAGTATGGGATGCATTTTCCTGGGAAGGAACGTAGTGGAAACCCGGAGATAGGCTTTCCCCTTTCTGAAGAGGACAGGGGTTATTTTTCTAGCAATTTAGTGGCCTGTATGGTGTGGGAAGATGCTTCCCCTTTTTTTGAGGTATACAATCCCCAGAGCATGGATTCTGCTGTCTTGATGGTTTCAGCCCAAAGACCCGAGCCTTTGACTCTTTTCACTCTGGTAGGAGGAACATCGACCTCACCTCAGCCAATCAACGGCTCCTTCTCTGACCTTTGACTCAGGTGCCTGCTGTGGGAGGGTTAGTACCAATTCCCAGGAGAGCAGTGACCAAAGCCAGGCACCTGTGGGGCTGGGCCACTGTTAACAGGAGTGGCACACAGCCACAGGCTCATCCAGTTGATCCTGTGTGGTTTTTATGGTGGTTCAGACCCCACAACTCCTGAGTTTCTGAGCCTGTCTTCTGCATCTTATTCTGCCCAAGTAATTCAATGATCTGTTTATCTCCCTGGTGAGCGTCTTCCTCATCTGAGCAACCCAGATCTGGTTTTTCTTGCTTGCACTGCAGCAAGAGCACTGAGAGACCCACCCTCCATCAAGCTTCAGTGAGCTGTGGCAGACCCCACGCTGTGCTCTAGGGTCAAACCAACCTTGCCTGCCTGGGGTGCATTCCGCTTGATCATGCCGTGCAATTATTTTTATACGTGGCTGGAGTCGACTCTGCTCTCTCCGCCGTGTTCAAGTGTGTAATGCAGTGGTATGAATCATAGTCATCATATTGCACAATTTTCTGAACTTATTCTTTCCAACTAAAATGTTGTATGCTTTGACCAATGTCTCCCACATGGCAGCCCCACACCCCAACTTCTGGTAAGTACCATTCTACTCTGTGCTTTTGTGAGTTTGACTTCTTCGGGTTCCAGATATGAGTGAGATCGTCCATTATTTATGTTTGTCTGGCTTATTGCACTTAACATTGTGTCCTCGATGCTCATCTATATTGTCACAGATGGCAGGATTTCCCTTTTTAAGGCTGAAAACAATATTTCATTGCATAATTGGACTACATCACCCACATTTTCTTCATCCATTCATCTCTCCGTGTTCGGTCTTGTTGATTCCATGTCCACTCTCATGAGTGAGGCTGCAGGGAGCAGGGAGCACAGATATCTCTTTGACATCTTTCCTTCATTTCCTTTGGGTTGATACCCCAGTGGGAAACTGCTGGGTCATATGGTAGCTATATTTCTAATTTTTCTGCCATCTTTTTTCTTTGTTTAGTCATCCTTTCTATTGAGTCATTCTCTTGATCCATCTCCCAGTCCATGCAGCTGTGAAGCCCCTCTTAGCCCAGTTTTCAACGTTAGGGCTTTCACTTGAGTCCTTTTGATAGATCCTGTTTCTTTAGCCGCACTCCCTTATTTGGAAGCAGCTGAGTTGAAGGGTGCCTGCCTAACATGCCCACAGCCCCAGGTCTGATCCCCAGCTCTCCCAAAAGTAAGAAATAAAACCCCACCATCTGCAGCCTTGTCCTCGTGTTTGGGGCTGCCGTTCTGCAGACATGATCTCCTTCCCTGTTCTCAACCTGCCTCTAACAGGTTCTGTTAAGTCCGACATGGGGACCCCCACAGAGGTCCAGCTGGCTCCTTCTCCCCTGAGCGTGGATCACACTCTTGGTTTTCCAGCTCTTGGAATGGTTTTATGGGAAACTGGATATTTTAAATAATCTCCACTTGTAACAGTGGATTCCATCTTCCCTTGGTGGTGGTTTTGTTAGTCCTGCCTTTGGTGATGTGTTGCTGACTTAAGTTAAGGACCAGTGCTTAGCCTGTAGGCTCCGATGGCCACACCCGGGTGCAGCCGCAGACATCTGTGCTGTTTTAAAATATTTTAGTAGTAGGTGGACACAATTCCTTTATTTATTTATTTTATATGGTGCTGAGGATCGAACCCAGGGCCTCCCCCCTGCAGGCAAGTGCTCTACCACTGAGCCACAATCCCAGCCCCTGGGCTGTTTTTTTTTTTTTTTTTAATTTTTTCATTTATTTAATCTGTTTTAGCTTCTGCTAAAGACGGGCAGGAACCTGCCAAAGGGAGGAGAAGTCAGTACTGCCCAGGGCGACATTCTCTCCCTCTGCTTTTCCTCGGTGCTCTCCGTCTCTCTCTGAGAGTCGGATCCATCTTGGTGTCTGCAAGCAAGCTCACATACCCCAATTTGAGACAAAAAGTCGTCGAGTCGGCAGAATTCCCTTCCCTTATTTTTTCCTTCGCTCTGTGTCATTGCTGCTCCCATTCCCAGGCGGCCCCGCTCCTCCCCGGAGAGAAGGAACGTTCCTTGATCCTCCACCTCCTTTGCTCTCCTGGGTGACCAGCACCCATCCCTCCTCCGACCCCTGCCTCCGGTCCCAATCTGCTACGACCCCACTGGGTCTCAGCAGACGGCATACGGGCTCTATTAAATGGACGCTGTTCAAATCGTATTGATGGAATTTCTTAATCTGCTTTTGTCTTACAGCTCCTGAAGAGCAAGACAGAGTTTTCACACGGGCTTCTGTGTTCCTTAGCATCTAAATAGCATCATATTGAGAATAATCCACGTCAATCCTGGGAGTCTGAGAGGACACTTATCCTTAGGCAACGCCTGAATCTCCAAAAACACCCGTCTATGACATCACAGAGGGTGCTGAGCCTCACCTGGATGTGTTCCCCCAGGAACGTCTCTAAAGGTATGGATGGTGACGTTAGTACTTCCTGGTGTGTCTACTCCAAGTGTCTAGTTGTGTCTCAAAGCTATGTTTTACTGAGTGAATACTTGGAGCTTGGTTTTTAAGCAGTGAGGACTCTTTATTAGGCAATAAGTGTCTTTTATGGGATAGTGACTTCTATTGGCTGCTGTGAATTGTGCTCAGTGCTTTAGATACAGCATCTCAATGGCTCTTCAAAGCAAACTTACAGAATCGGATAGAATAAGAGGAGAAAACGGAGGATCTCAGAGCTTACATAAATTGCCCCAAGATCATGCACCCAGAAAACTGGGGATCTTGGACTGCAGGTGAGAAAACTGTTAGAGAAACTAAAGTGTATGGTAGAATCTGCGTGATGATGTGAAGTGCTCTTATTTTGTAGCTTTTTCCTATTTAACTCGAGCCTCAGCCTATATGGCATTGTTGGCAGCTGTATTTATCCTGTAGCTGCATTCTTGCTAAGGTTGTGTGAGGCCAGCCTTTATTTAGTTATGAATAGCTCTTCCCCGTAATTTCATGCTGATTTTTTGTATTGTGGTTATTACCATTAAGAATTTCACCGTCACTCGGTGGGACACCTTTTTACCCTGAGCTTTGCACCGTAGGAGGAAACCTCACGTTCCGGGCCGTGCTTTGCCACCGAGGTAACCCCATGCCGACCATCGCTGAACACCTGTCCTCGCCCCAACTTCCCCTCCAGGACAAAAACCTGCTGTGGAGTCAGCCGTGCAGGGAGACTCAGCATCGAGGATGCCCAGCCAGTGAGCAGAGACTCAGCATCGAGGACGCCCAGCCAGTGAGCAGCTGCCCAAAAACACACCACAGACGCCACCTTGGCCCAGGTTGACTGGTCATCTCTCTGCTTGATCTTTGCCTGATTCTTGCTGCATTCATCAATTTTCAGGCAATCACACGTTTTTAAAAGGCCTTCCCAGGGTTTTAACTCTCAATGGCTTCGTTTCCCCTTTCCGGGGACAAGTGTTCTCACTACTCAGAGAACAGGGTCTGTGGCTGGGGGGGCGTTAAGAGTAGCTGTTTTAGGCTGGGTCTCCCTAAGGCTGGCTTCCGCTGGCGACGCGAAACGCGTGGTGGACCACCCTCTTCTGACAGCTGTGTTATCCTAGCTAACTTTTGAAGAAAAACTCCGGGGCTAACGTGATCCTTATTCTAAGGAATGGTTACTTAAAGAGAAGGGGTTGAATCTCTAGGTTTGGAGGGAAAGAATCGGTTTCCACTTAGTAGACCTGGCCTCCCTCCTGGGGAGCACCACTGGCCTCCCTCCCTCCCCCACTGGCATGAGGAGGGCTGTGTGCTGTCCCAGCTCTGCAGGGCCCCAGTCTCTCCCTGCCATCCCTCCTTGTCCCTTAGGTCTCAGCCTAAGGCTACTCTCCAGAGAGATGGTCACCCAGGCAGGACCCTCACCGTGGATTGCTGAGGCTAGAAGCATCCTCCTTCGATGCCATTATAACTAGAATTCGGTATTATTATGGACAGCAGGCAGTGTCTAGTGGACACAACTGCACACCCTCTCTGAAGTCCACTGAGAGGGGGAAGGAAGAGGACAGAGGAAGGGTGATTCATGGTTCAGAGAGAAGCGAAGATGGACGATATTGCCAGAGAGAGGGGGCACACTGTCACAGCTAGTCCACCAGCATGACTCACGGTTCCTCCAGGCCAGCCTGCATCTCCCCAGATCCCGTCTTCTCTTGTTTTAGGGCCCTGAGTAGGCTGTCCTCGCAGCTCCCCTGCAGCTGAGCAAAGCCATGGGGCTGAGTCCAGGCCCCGGGAGTGGGCACAGAGCGACAGGCCCCACCTCCAGCCGAGGCTCCCCAGGGGCTCCCAGGTGACCCTCGACAGCATCCAGCCGAGGAGCCAACGCCCAGGGGGCCATGAGCCTGAAGAAGCCTAAATTCCTGGACACGCTGTCGAGGCCCCTGGTGCAGGCCGCACGGGTCTGTGCCCTGAATGAGGGACAAACCCCTGCTCTGTGGAGCTGCTGTGACTGTCGGCTGACTTCCAGTGAGTCACCTCGGTACTTTCACAAAAAAATGTCTTTCTTTGGTTTATATTAGGTTGCACCATATTCGACTCATTTACTATCGAAATAGCTTTCACTAACACAGCCACCAAAAATGAGGGTGAAGCTTTGCAATGCGTACTCCTGTGTGTTTAGAGGAAACGTGTCTATACGGTAGGTCTCTGTGTGTGTGTGTGTGTGTGTGTCTATATTTCTCCTGTTATGCAGTACTATGAGACGGGCGAGTTACAGCCGACAGTACTAACTCAGCAACCTGAAGTCCCCTCCTCTGTAATTACAAGAAGTCAAAGAAACTAACCTAGATGACCAGCAGGCAATCTGCAAATACGTACTTATTTACTGAGTGCGTGTGCGGTGTACGTGTGTGTGTGCGCGCGCGTGTGTATGTGTGTGGTGTACGTGTGTGTGGGTGTGTGTGCAGGTGTGTATGTGTGTGTGTGGTGTACGTGTGTACATGTGTGTGTGCGTGTGGTGTACATGTGTATGTGTGAGGTGTGTGTGTGTGTGGTGTACATGTGTGTATGTGTGAGGTGTGTGTGTGTGTGAGGTGTACGTGTGTGTATGTGTGAGGTGTGTGTGCATGTGTGTGTGGTGTACGTGTGTGTATGTGTGAGGTGTGTGTGCGTGTGTGTGTGGTGTACATGTGTGTATGTGTGAGGTGTGTGGTGTACATGTGTGTATGTGTGAGGTGTGTGTGCATGTGTGTGTGTGGTGTACATGTGTGTATGTGTGAGGTGTGTGGTGTACATGTGTGTATGTGTGAGGTGTGTATGTGTGAGATGTGTGGTGTACATGTGTGTATGTGTGAGGTGTGTATGTGTGAGGTGTGTGGTGTACGTGTGTGTATGTGTGAGGTGTGTGGTGTACATGTGTATGTGTGAGGTATGTGCGCGTGTATGGGGGGTGATCCCAGGAGGGAGCCGAGTGAGGCGGAAGGAGAGACAGCAGGTGGGACAGGCATGGTACAGCCGGGCCGGGCTGCCCTCCCTGCCCCAGGTGACCAGGCAGCTCCTGCAGACCCTCCGCAGGGCCCAGGAAGAGCGTCTCGGCTCCGAGGCGGGGCTTCTCCTGGGGCACCCACCGCTCCCTGTGCCCTGTTCACTTTGGGATCTGCTTCTCGCTGGTCCCGAGGCAAAGCTGTCTGGCTGCACAGATGTTAATTATTCAAGGCTGCTCTTAATTAGCTGTGTGAGTGATGAATTCTGGAAGCGTGGCAGAGAGCCTGGCCGGCTGGGTCCCGGAGACAGTCCCCCGGGAGGGCCCTGCGGGATCCGGGTCCGCGGCCTGCTGCGCCCTGCCTCGCGTCTATCTTGAACCTGGACGTTCGAGCTGTCAAGCTCACAGAGGCCACCCCTCCCCTCGGGACCGTCCAAATTAAATGCTTGGGAGGTGGATGATTTTTAAAAGCCTCTTGCACACGCGAGCAGGAACCCTCGGAGTGGCCGCCCAGTGAATTATTCCAGTGCAATCGAAGGCGCACGCAGAGGGTGTGTGTGGTGTACATGTGTGTACACCTGGTGAGCAGTGACCATTCGCTGACCACTCACTGACCTTGGATCTACGTTTCCTTGCTCGGTGGGGTGGCGTTTCCCAGTACAGCCCCTTAGGCACGCTGGCGCCCCCGGAGGCCACCTGGCCAAGGAGAGCTCTGCGCACAGAACCGGGGCTGACCGCAGTGTGGCACAGGACCGGGCGGCCTCTCCGGGTCAGTCTCCCAGCCTCCCTCACCCCGGCGGCGCAGAGGGCACGGTCAGAGTTTGCAGGGAGGCCCTGCTGATCTGCCCATCTGGGGCCTCATGGTTTTTCTCTTGAACAGAATAATTAGTATTTAAACAGCTTCCTTCACACCGAAGGCCGGCTCCAGGCAGGAATAAATGAAGCAGCCCCCGTAATAAAACATCCATCCGCAGGAGAAAAATGACTTCCGCTGGGGCCTCACCAGGCGAGCAGGGAGGAGGGGAGAGCTTGGCGGGGTGGGGGACAGGCCTGTGAGATAATTACGGCTCCGACTCTGCTGTGCGAAAGCAGGCGGTTTGTTTGAACGAGGTTGTATATATCCACGGTAAGATAAAGGAACAGAGCTGCGGCATACTATAATCCCACGTGTGTAAAGTTACATCATTAAGAGTTCTTCAAACAGGGTACGTGCACTTATAAATATGTCACACGCCCAGCTACTCTGGCGTTTCCTCTGGGGTCAACAATGGATGTTGGGGTAGGAGACGGGAGACGGTCATTCCTTCCACTATTCCAAAACATAAAACCTGAATTTAGAGACAAATTTGGTATCAAAGAAAACTACTTCCAGTTCCTGCCTCAGCAGCTTTCTATGAACTTGGGGTTACACACCCGATTTTCTAGGCCTCCGTTTTGCTTACCTGTAAAACACAGAGCTAAACAAAAACTGATCTTCGTGAAACTAAAGATAATGTCAATGAAGGACGCAGCTCCTTGGCTGGCGGAAAACAAGCACAGATGAGTGTTGGGTTCTCGTAGATGTAGAACAGCACCGAGGACCCTCTGTTCTTCAAATTCCTCTAAGCCTCCTTGGGAACGTCCATCTGTCCAAACTCTGTTGACTCCCAGTGGACGAGGGACCTCCTTCCACCCCGAGTCGGAGAAGACACTCGGAGCCAGCCGTGGATCCCTGTGCCTGTGTCTCTCCTGTGCTGCCTTGCACACGTCAGGTCAGGTCTGCTGCAAGAGCTTGCACCTTGGAGCAAAGGTGGACTCAGAACACCGCAGGCACCTTGCACCGACCAGCACACATGGCGTGAGTGGGAAAGAAGCTGTGGGAGCATCGGGAGGGCTCTGAGGGTTCGGGCTGCTTGTTACTGCAGCTGAACTCGGCCTGCCTGACTGACACATCCCTCTTTCCTGTCGGTCAAAAGATCCCCGGGCAGGTTTTCTTTTTCTATCAGTCAGAATACTTAGTTGTAAACATGGGACATATTCGTACCTCATTTAAGCAGAGATACAGGTTATGGAGGGACATCTGGTGACTCAAGGATAGGGTCTGGATGGTTCACTCAGGAGCAAGACCCTGTGACTTTGCAGCCTGCTCTGGGGAACAGCAGTGCGCTGCCCCTGGGTCAGACCTCCGTAGGGCTCCCTGACCACGTCGTCGGGGCCTGGCCTGAAGCTCTCACTAGCCCCCTGCAGGCCTGCCACCCTCTCACCTGGGTCACGCCCTCCATCCGGGTGCCTGGGTCAGAGTGGGGGAGCCTCTGTCCCACGCCTGCATGGGCACAAGGGGCGGGGTGGGACTGAGACTGTGACCTGGGGCTTCCCTCAATGGAGCACACTCCTTAAACTCAGGAAAGCCCCGCAGCCCTCTTGGGAGACCTGCAGGTGCTCTGGCTGCAGCTGCTGGTCTGCGTGGCTGCCCCCTGCTGCACGCATCGACTTGAATTCAAACATGATTAAGTTCCCTTAAAAATTCAGTCCCTCACAGACACTTTTCAAGCCTGTTTCCGCCCCTGGCTCGGGGCTGACGTGGGGGACAGTGTGGTCAGGACTCATTTCGCTGTGGTGGAGCGGCTGCTGGACAGCTCCAGGCAGAGCTGAGCTGGAGGCCTGAGCTAATTGGCCCCCGGGGGAGGGGAGGGCGGCAGGTGGGGCCGGGGAGCGGGTGAGAGTGAGACAGCACCCACCCTCTGTGGCATCCGCCATCTCTCAGCCTTTTCAGGACTTGCTCTTTGCATCTGTCCAGCCAGGGCCTGGTGATGAAAGAACCCCCCCAGGGGGCCCCCAAACAGGACTCCCTAATTGGCCTCCTGGGGCCCCGCCTGTGGGTACATCCCTGGAGAGAGGGTGGGGCTGGCTTTCTCCCTGCAGATGAGCCTCAGGACCAACCTGGGCTGCAGCCCTGTCTCCGGCAGGAGGTGCCCTCCCGTCCCTCTCCCTGCGGAGCCGAACCCACCATCACGGCAGCTGTTGTGTGGCGGAGTCTCCCCACCAGCCGGTCAGCACAGATAAGGGTTCAGACGGAGCGCACCTCACCTGAACACCCAAACTCCTGAAGGTGCCCAGATCCAAGACTGTTTGAGCACCACAGGAAGCGACAAGGGAAAATTCCGCTCCACAGACCTTGGTTTCATTTACAAAATTATTTAAACTATTGCATAGAGCTCCCCGGGGGCTATGTCTATGCAGCGTACAGGA